CATGTGAACTGTTAAAATGGTTAGAGTGAAACAAAGTTGAAGATAACATGCAAAACTTATCTTTTTTTTACAAACAAAATTCTTTAGGTCTCTGAATGAAAAATTAAGTCTATTGAATCACAAAAACAAGTAACAAATATGCATGCATCATTTATCAACATCTTAAAAAGCACAATCATCCTATTAAATATTTCACAGTTCAACCTTTAGAAGTAGTAAATAAGCAGCCTGGTGAATCTCATTCAAAGTTTGTATGATCACGGAAAATAAATGAATTAAATTGGATTAAAAAATTACAGACAGTCTACCCACTCGGTCTTAATGATAATAACATGGGAATTGGTAATATATCAAGAACCGATTTTGTTAACATTTTGGATATAGTTTCTAAAACTGTTCGTAAAAACCGTTCTCATGGGCGTAGAAAAAATCGCAATCAAAGAAAATTTCGGACCAACCATACAAATATTTCGGACCTAATTTCTATTTAAAAAAACAACGGCAGACATTATCTATTAACCAAGCTCTGTTCTTTGCCTATAAATAAATTAAATAAAATTTTAGAGGATTGCAACACAATTTCATATTGCAGTCCTAAGTATGAAATCGTTCAAATTATAATGGCATATTGTTATTCTAAACTGTTTCCCAAAATTGATCGTCCTGAAGATCATAAAAAAACATTTTATCAAAATAAAGTATGTCAATAAAGGTTTTGATTTTGTAAATATTGCCGGTATTTTTAACGACCATTCTGTTAAAGAACAAATTCCTGGATATTTTGATAATACTGAACTCCCTCTTATTTGTTATATTTACAAGAAATCTACCCGGAAATTTGTGTTTAATTATAGCCAAGTCTGTAAAGCTGTAAATATCAGTGAAAATACACCTACGTCATGTAATTGTAGTTATTCCGAATACACTTATGGCCCCATTTCCCATGTAATAACAGGAGACCTTAACATCGTTCGCGACCGAGAGTTAAAACAATTCCTCAGTAAAGGACCTAAATATCGTCTCCCGTCAACTATTAATTGGGATGAGTGTCGTAATATCATCCACGACTTACTTAGTGCTTACTGTTTGAAATGGATAAAACGGGAAAAAGCTGACAAAAAATCTTTGGACTCTTTTTTTAATTCAGTAATGAAGATAGTTGATATACGTATACAACATTTTAAAGAACATTTTACTCTTAACAACAACCATAAAAATCCTATTTCTCGTATCAAACATAAACTAAAAGAACTAGCCAAGGAATTTGTTTTTGTCCCGACTGATAAAGCTGCTAATAATATCATTATAGTTTGACGTAAATTTTACATTGAGGTTCTGCAAAAGGAAATCACCAATTCACCAACATTTCAACTGACTTCATTTTCAGAAAACGATATCTGTAACAAACATAAACTATTAGCTACTTCTTTACAAGCAGAACCAAATACAATGCAAGTCCCAACTATGTAGTGGCTTCCGAAGCTACACATATCACTTTACAAATATAGATTTATTTCGTCTTCAAGTTATTGTTCTACTACTAAATTGTCTATTCTACTTACTAGTACACTTGGTACAATCAAAAACCTGATAATAAATTGTTCAAATAAGGCCTTTGAAAATAGTGGAATTAATTACTTTTGGAGTGTCAAAAACTCGTTGGAAGTACTAGATAAATTGCATGCATATATTGCTGATTTTGAATCTGTTCAAAGTTTTGATTTTTCTACCCTATATACCACTTTGCCTCATATTCTTATTAAGAAAAAATTCACACACCTAATTAAATGGGCATTTAAAAAGTCGGAATGCAAATACATATGTTCAAACTCTTTTAGGTCATTTTTTAGTAGCAACAAACAAAAGAACTATGTCAATTGGACATGCTTTGATACGATATCTGCCCTTGAATTTTTACTTGATAACATTTTTGTTCGCTTTGGAGATTCCGTATATCGTCAAGTTATCGGAATTCCAAAGGGGACTAACTGTGCACCACTTATTGCGGACCTGTTTTTGTATTGTTATGAGTTACAATTTATGACTAAAATCAGCAAAGACCCATCGAAACAACATCTGATACAAAAATTTAACAATACTTTTAGATATTTGGATGATATATTGGCTCTCAATAATGACGACTTCAGTATGTATACTAAAGAAATTTATCCTGTTGAACTTACTTTAAATAAAGCTAATACTAACAATGACCACTGTCCTTTCCTCGATCTTGATATCTATATCATTAACGGGAAGCTTAATACAAACATTTATGATAAAAGAGATGATTTTTCATTTCATATCGTTAATTATCCATTTTAGATGGTGACGTTCCATTGTCACCATCATATGGTGTTTATATATCTCAACTTGTACGATTCGCTCGTGTATGTAACAACGTATTAGATTTTAGCGAGAGAAATTTATGTATTACAGAAAAATTATTACATCAGGGTTTTCGATATCATAAACTAGTCAAAACATTTACCAAATTTTATCATCGGTATAAGGACATCATTCGTAAACACAACTCAACATGCAGACATCTTATACGTTCGGGTATTTCACATCCTATCTTTTATGGTAATATTCTTTACAAAGCACAAAAATGTCAGTATTTACCTCAAAAGCTAACAAAATCTTTAAACAGACTTATTAAGAAGGGATATAGTTACGATACTGTTGTCAGGTCATTAACGATTGCATATTTTGGTTTTAATATTGATTCACTTATAGGGTCTTTGCATCGAAATTAAACACATTTGTTTTAAAACCAGTTATTGGCATGACACGGGTTATGCTCTTCTCATATATTTTATGACGGTATAATACTAAACCCCTAACAGGAGGGATTGTGCCTGATATTCATATGATGAAGACATAATCTTTCAATCAGTTTAATTGAGGTCTGGAGCTGGCATGTCAGTAACTGCTAGTAGTCTGTTATTATTATGTATTATTGTCAATTTGTTTATTTTCTTTTGTTTCCTATACTGACATCGGACTCGGACTTCTCTTATACTGAGTTTTACTGTGCGTACTGTTGTGCGTTTGTTTTTTCTACATTGGCTAGAGGTATAGGGGGAGGGTTGAGATCTCAAAAAACATGTTTAACCCCGCCGTATGTCGCGCTTGTCCCAAGTTGAGCCTCTGGTCTTTGTTAGTCTTGTATCATTTTTAATTTTAGTTTCCTGTGTATAATTTGGAGTTTAGTATGACGTCCATGATCACTGAACTAGTATACATATTTGTTTAGGGGCCAGCTGAAGGACGCCTCCGGGTGCGGGAGTTTCTCGCTGCATTGAAGACCCATTGGTGGCCTTCGGCTGTTGTCTGCTCTATGGTCGGGTTGTTGTCTCTTTGAAACATTCCCCATTTCCATTCTCAATTTTATTCTAAAGAATCAAATACGTTATGGATTATATTTTCAAAGGCGTACACCAAAACGTTGTGACTGATTAAAACGGCTCAAACAATGGAAATTCAACCAATGACGTGTCGTTATTTTCATTTTGGGGTTCAAAACTTGAATTACATACATTCCTTTTGATTCTGAAACGGCGGCTTAAGATGAAAAAGGACAAATAGAAACTGTAAATCAAAAGACAGACAATAAATATCACATAGAGCTAACATATAAGAGAGTTTACTTCATTTGGAATCTGTAGTCATTACCTTTTTTACGCAGTACTAAACAAAGAATTATAGAATCTATCAAATAGCATCCCTCCAGTATTCGCACATAAATCTGTTAGATATCAATATTTATAAGTTTGTCAAACATATTCACTTCAAACTTCTTGCATTTTATGAAAAATAACTGCCCTATACTGTAATACACAGAATCGTTTGGAAGTAACAAGTTCTAATTTTTAGAAATGTTCCTCACAACAAGATTTATTAAATATTGTCAGTGCAAATAGTTTTGATCTTCCTTCTCAACAGACCGTTGGCAATTATTGCTTTACTTATCCAATATATTTGTATAATACGCATGTGCCTATTTTTATCAGTAAATTTTCACTTTCTGAGCAGTTCCGTTGTATAATATGGATATTCCTTGCTAAGAATTGTAAATAACGTATAATTTACTTTCTGGAGGAGAAGATAATCTTTTCATGAGATTTCCTCCTATTGTACTTCAAAAATTATTGGTGGTGTCAAACAATTGATAAGTTATTTATAAGGGATTGTAATGGAATTAGACGTGCTAATATATTATTTCGTTTATATCAGGAAAATTAAAACCGTTACATAACTCCTCAAACAAAGACATCCTTTAATACTTAAAAGTACTTATGCTGTGATGATGTATTACTGTACTTTTATTGAAAAGATAAAATGCCATTAAAAGAATCTTGTAAGTTAATTCGCATTAACCTGCCCATTTGTGTTGAAATTAGAAAGTTTTATACTTCTTTCTTTCCATTTTGCGATTTGTTTGAATCATTAATTTTAAAGTACGGAAATTTTTATTTCAGTGTTTTATAACCATGCCCTATTTTTAATAAATGCAGCAGCGAAGATTTTACATTTTGATTATCAGTGTTTTGAAAAAGCAGAATTCTATAATTCAGCGAATAGATAAACGTTCAGCGAAAAATAATTAAAAGTTCAACCGCGGACATAAAAGTACAAATTCAAATGCAGACATTCATAAAAAGATGCTATTTACCATAGGTACATAGCTAATAGTTTATTTTAGAAGCCTCCGAGTGTACTTGGGGTAAAGAAATTGGACACATGTTCTCCAACTGAGTGATACGATAATTCGATAATACCCCTACAACCACTACGGCAAGCAATTTAAGCTGGATAGGATTACACATACATAGACAAACTCTATCCAAAAGGATTCGTTAAAACTAATGCCTCATTTTAGTAAAGCGACAAGCTATCTGTGCGACAAAGAACCCGTGCAACGCCTCTTTAAGTGTTCTGTTTGGGAGAAATTAAACCAGGAACTCATACTGATATTATGTCATTTAACAAACAGCGTATAAATTGAACATTTTATTACAGTTATACCGTCATATAGGCTTATCTAATCCGAACGTAATTTTTTTTAACTTTGTTTTGAAAAATCAGACATAATAAAAGGCAAAACGTTAAATTTCTTTTTCTGTCACAACCAACTTAATATGTTTATATAACATTTATAACAATTAATCATACAAGCAAAAAGGTGGATACAAATGAACAATATGTTGTAGATCGTCTGCCACGTATACATAAGTCAACTTTCTCTTATTTCTACTTCTTTAGTGAACAAGAATCGATCACATTTATGAAACCGCTATAGGCGGATCACTGTATGTTTTCTTGATACCCTAAATCACAGCCTTCCAGAATATATTTAGTCCTAATCCACTTTTGCATGTGAGATAAGGTGTTGTATAAAGAAGTGTTCGGAGAGGACTTGTCATATGTTTCAAATCAATTTGCTGACGCATTATAAGAACCATTGCATTTGTACCCTTACGGCGTCTCCTTTCCTGGACCAAACATAATTCCCACTGACACCACTCACTCTTAGCAAAGTTATTTGACATAACGACTATTATTTTCCAACTTTTATTCATAAAATTTTCGATATTGCTTGTAATTGGTTGCCCAGCTTCAAAATCCCTATAATGAACGCATATCTTCAAATTCATATCTTCCAAGCGTTTAAAAAGTTCTCCATGTACCCAATGTCGATCAGCGTCACAATACACTATAAAGGCATCAAATTCGTAATTAGCTGGTAAGTCAGACAAGCGAGTTCGTCTTTTATACCTATGGAGACGAATCAAATACAAGGCATTTCGGATATTAGTTTGACATTTTAATATTATCGTTACCAAAACAACCACCAAACAAACACCCGAAAACACAAATGCAATGGTGTCAGTCGGATCCCATGGAGTACAGCTTTCAATGGTTGGCCTATAATTTATCAACCATCTATGTTTTAGTTCATTCGGGTATGAGCAGGCGTAACGTGTAGGCCAGTTAATAAGAGTTTTTGACAAATCAGTTTTCCAAATTGTATCAAAAAACCACATCAGATCACAAGTACACCAAAATGGATTGCTTGTCAAATCTAGTTTTTCTAACGATAATAACAAATTTAGTGGGAAGGTGGTCTTATTTATTATGTTGATGTTATTTCCTTGTATATATAATGCTCGCAAAGATGTAACGTTTGCAAACGTATTCTGATTCCACTTCGCTAATTTATTTCCACTTAAAATTAAAATTTCTAGATGTTGCATTTTCTGGAAAAGATTTTCAGGCAATTTATCTTAAGATGCTGAATGTAAATTTAGCTTGTGTAACTTGACCAAAGAAGAAAACATTCGATGAAAAAATTCCATTTTATCGGGTAGAAAGTTTTTCGTCAGATCAAGATCAACGAGGTTTGGTAGAAAACGAAATATCGTGTCCACATCATATCGTTCATATGCAACACCATGCCTACATTTATCAAAAATGAATCCATTTTGAGCAAACTGCAGTTTCTCAAGCGAACTACTGTTAAATACCGAAGGACTTAAACTGGTAAGCCTATTAGCTGTATTAATTGCGAGTCGTTTTAGATTTGTCAAATATGTGAAAACATTATTTGCTAATGACGTAAATCGATTACTATCTAAAAGCAGTTCTTCTAAACGGTCTAAGCATTTGAACGAAATGGGTTCAAGAAATCTGAGAGCATTGTCGTTCAGCGTTAGAACTCGTAGTCTAGGTGCAAGGCTTTTTTCTTCATTACAAAAATTCGGTATACTGTGTATATTGTTAGATGTCAGGTCTAGATGCTCTACAGTCCGAAATCCAACTTCATCAATTATTATATTGACTACTTTATTTTTTCGACAATATACTTTTTTAACTCTGTAGAATGGTCGAAAAACTGCGGTATCAACATTTGCCAAATTGTTACCGTTTAGTGACATTTTGGACAAATTCGATCCGGTTAAAGGGTCAAAAATATTACTTGGAAGCAGATTCCAATCATTTCCTTCGAATCTCAATACATCAATCAGTGATTTATTTAAACTGTTAAATGACTTTGATATTCCAGAAATGTCCAAATCCGTTTCAACCGATATTTGTAGTCTCTCCAAATGATTTAATGTCACAAAAGCATCGGAAGTGATTGTTTTAATTGAATTATTCCCAAAAATGAGAATTCTGATATGATTACCTGATATGTTTCTGAACAGAGTCAAATTTATATTTGAAAACTTGTTATTTGTCAGTTCTAACGTCTCTGAATACTCTGGAATATTTGGAATATATGTTAATGAAAAGCAACTAGTTCTTAACTTCTTGCGGCTACAGCTACAATACCGTTTCAAGCAATTGCTATCTCTAGGATTTCCATGTATACAAACTATCAACAAAATGAGAAGATAAACATGTATCGTCCAATTATATATCATTTTCCTTCTATGAACGTTCACAAGGAATAGATCTTTAACGAATATTAGAATGAATACTGAATATTTATATACATGCATCTACTGCGTGCGCTAAATAAGGTATTTATTTATAAACGTATGCATGTTTATTTGTACTATTTACCTGGAATGATTTCCATATTTATATGATGAAAGTCCTGTCATCTCATGCAATGTGATGTTTCAATATAGTACAATCACAGGACTTCCACATGATCAATACATAGGTACTTCCTGCCTTTCATTTAATTTTGATGGTATGAATGTTCAAGTGTTTCCTGTTCAGAAATAATATCATCAGTTGTTTTTAAAACTAAAATTGTTTTTTATCACAGTGTTCCAGTATTTTATACTTATTTACACATACACTGATACCGTTAATCACAGCCTTCCAGAATATATTTTGTCCTAATCCACTTTTGCATGTGAGATAAGGTGTTGCATAAAGAAGTGTTCGGAAAGGACTTGTCATATGTTTCGAATCAATTTGCTGACGCATTATACGAACCATTACATTTGTACCCTTACGGCGCCTCCATTCCTGGACCAAACATAATTCCCACTGACACCACTCACTCTTAGCAAAGTTATTTGACGTAACGACTAATATTTTCAAACTTTTATTCATAAAATTTTCGATATTGCTCATAATTTGTTGCCCAGCTTCAAAATCCCTATACTGAACGCATATCGTCAAATTCGCATCTTCCAGTCGTTTAAAAATTTCATCGTGTACTCATGTCGATTAGTGTCACAATACATTAAAAGGCATCAAATTCGTAATAAGCTAGCAAGTCAGACGAGCGAGTTCGTCTTTTATGCCTATGGAGACGAATCAAATAAAAGATATTTCGGATATTATCTTGACATTTTGATATTATCGTTACCAAAACAACCAATAACAAACACCCGAAAACACAAAAGCAATAATTCTGTCAGTCGGATCCCATGGAGTACAGCTTTCAATGGTTGGCCTATAATTTATCAACCATCTATGTTTTAGTTCATTCGGGTATGAGCAGGCGTAACGTGTAGGCCAGTTAATAAGAGTTTTTGACAAATCAGTTTTCCAAATTGTATCAAAAAACCACATCAGATCACAAGTACACCAAAATGGATTGCTTGTCAAATCTAGTTTTACTATTGATAGTAACAAATTTAGTGGGAAGGTGGTCTTATTTATTATGTTGATGTTATTTCCTTGTATATATAATGCTCGCAAAGATGTAACGATTGCAAACGTATTCTGATTCCACTTCGCTAATTTATTTCCACTTAAAATTAAAATTTCTAGATGTTGCATTTTCTGGAAAAGATTTTCAGGCAATTTATCTTAAGATGCTGAATGTAAATTTAGCTTGTGTAACTTGACCAAAGAAGAAAACATTTGAAGTACAAATTCCGTTTTATCGGGTAGATAGATTTTCGTAAGATCAAGATCAACGAAGTTAGGTAGAAAACGAAATATCGTGTCCACATCATATCGTTCACATGCAACACCATGCCTACATTAATCAAAAATGAATCTATTTTGAGCAAACTGTAGTTTCTCTAGCCAACTACTGTTAAATACCGAAGGACTTAAACGGGTAAGCCTATTAGCTGTATTAATTGTGAGTCGTTTTAGATTTGTCAAATATGATGTGAAAACATTATTGCCTAATGACGTAAATCGATTACTATTTAAAAGCAGTTCTTCTAAACGGTCTACGCATTTAACGAAATGGGTTCAAGAAATCTGAGAGCATTGTCGTTCAGCGTTAGAACTCGTAGTCTAGGTGCAAGGCTTTTTTCTTCATAACAAAAATTCGGTATACTGTGTATATTGTTAGATGTCAGGTCTAGAAGATCTAGTCCGAAATCCAACTTCATCAATTAGAGGTATTCCCGTAACAGTGTGGACAACCGTAGTACCTTTGTTGTCATTACTACTGAATCATTTACCTTTACTTTTTGTCGTCGGCTATCGATAACAATGATTTTACGCTCACGCAGTCTGACTGAGGCCCTCCAATGGGGATTTAGATAAACACTTGTAACACATTTCGATACATAAAATGAAATTATTGACCAAAACATAAAAAACGCAAGATATGTACGTTTAAGTATTCAATATTAATCAAAACTCAAAGGTTATTCCTGTACTAGTTTTTCGAATTATTTGAGTCAGGCGTTGAGAATCTTTGGTGACCCCACAGTTTAAATGTCTATAATAAATACGACGTGATAAGTGGGCGTTACAGACGAACGTTCATCTAATTTAACCCAGTCAATGAGAGACTTGAGCGCACCAAAAAATGGTCTCGTCCACACTGTTATGAAAACGATACTATTATATTGACTACTTTATTTTTTCGACAATATACTTTTTTTTAACTCTGTAGAATGGTTGAAAAACTGCGGTATCAACATTTGCCAAATTGTTACTATTGCTATTAGTGATATTTTGGACAAATTCGACCCGGTTAAAGGGTCAAAAATATTACTTGGAAGCAGATTCCAATCATTTCCTTCGAATCTCAATACATCAATCAGTGATTTATTTAAACTGTTAAATGACTTTGATATTCCAGAAATGTCCAAATGCGTTTCAACCGATATTTGTAGTCCTCCAAATGATGTAATGCCACAAAAGCATCGGAAATGATTGTTTTAATCAAATTATTCCTCAAAATGAGAATTCTGATATGATTACCTGACACGTTTCTGAACAGAGTCAAATTTAAATTTGAAAACCTGTTATTTGTCAGTTCTAACGTCCCTGAGTATTTGGAATATATGTTAAATAAAAAGCAACTAGTTCTTAACTTCTTGCGGCTACATAGATAATACCGTTTCAAGCAATTGTTGTCTCTAGGATTTTTATGTATAAAAACTATAAACAAAATAAGAAGACTTGAGAACATGTGCCGTCCATTTTTATATCATTTTCTTTCTATGAACGTTTACAAGGAATAGAACTTTAACAAATATTAGAATGAATACTGAATATTTATATACATGCTTCTGATGCTTGCGATAAATAATGTATTTATTTATAAACGCATGCATAAAATTGAGAATGTATATTTTTACTATTCATCTGGAATCATTACCTTGTCATCTCATGCAATGTGATGTTTCAATATAGTACAATCACATGACTTCCACATGATCAATAACTAGGTAGTTCCTGTCTTTTCATTTCATTTTGATGGTATTAATGTTCAAGTGTTTCCTGTTTAGAAAATAGTATCATCAGTTGTTTTTAAAACTTAAATTGTTTTTTTTTTCTCACGGTGGTCCAGTATTTTATACTATTTTACACATAAATAAAGGCAACAGTAGTATACCGTTGTTCAATAGTCATAATTGTATAAAGCAAAAACAAATCCGGGTAACAAACTAAAACCGAGGGAAACACATCAACTTTAAGAGGAAAACAACGGAACAACAGAAACATTGAACTACAACAAAAGCAAACGCTTACATACATAGAAACCGACAGTGTGATAACAACTGCCATATTCCTGACGAACCTGGTTTTATAGCTAGCCAAACATCATAAACTATAAGCAATTTTACAGAAAATGTTGAATGTATTGCTAAATAAGACTATATAATTATGATTCATTAGCATCCCCTATTACAATTCAGGAAGATACAAAAATGGGTTTTCTTAACATGGAAAATGGATCAACTTTTAACCATACATGCACACATTCATGTATATTTATTTGGTGTTTTCATTTCATACTAATACATTTGTAAAAGTAGTGATCTATGTAACTGTTCAGGGTCAGAAAAAAATAAATGTGTGTAATTTTTTTATACCGAAAAGGGCACTCGAATATCATATGACAAAGAATGAATGACGACACCATGTCCCACAGAAAAAAATGAACAAACAAAACAGCGACCCTCAACATACTTCAAAGAAAATTCGTAAAGAAAATACGACCTCATCTAAAACATGGGCGAACTAAGATAGGATAAGCAGTTATTTTTCAACCAGTGAAAATACGTCGAACTCAAAGGTGTCATGATCGGTTGCGTTGACAGGATAAGCGTCTACGGCTATTCATAAAAATAGAAAAGTCAGCTCTTCAAATGTTTTATTGACGTTATCATGACCTGATTAGTCGTTAGAGAATATGACTTAATACCCAATACAACACATCAACAAAATTCTACTTATACTGGTGACAGTTTCGTCTCCGATGGTATCACCAGCCCGGTAGTCAGCACTTTTGTTTTGACATGAAATATCATTGATATGTTCTTTTTTTCTGTAAATCTGCTTGTACCAAGTTAGGAATATAACAGTTGTATTCCATTCGTTTGGTGTGTATGAGCTTTTGATTTTATCAATTGATAAGGGATTTTACCGTTTTGAAATTTCCTTGGAGTTGGGTATTTTTGTTATTTACTTTTTACTTTTTATAAAATGTTGAATTATTAGAGACACTACATTTTTTTCTACATACAGGTATAGATTGCTATATCCTCATTTTGCACAACTTTTTGGCTTTTCGGTTTTTAATGCTGTTTAATTTTGTATTTGATTTGGCCTGCCAACTGTGTTGATTCGACCATCACTGATGAGTTTTATGAAGACCAAACACGTGTCTGGCGTATACCATTATAAGCCAGGTATCTTTGATGAGTTTTTACAACTACTGAGTTGATGCACTTCCTGGCGGATGTTTCGGCTCGAAGGTGTTACCAGCCCAATATTCAGTCCTTTTGTGTAGACATTAAAAATAATTGATATGTTCAATTTTCTGTAAATTTACTGCTAATAAAACGTTCAATTAGTCGAAACATTAATGCTTTTTTACCCACAGGTTTATGTATTGCCATAGCCTTATTTTGCACAAATTTTACGAATTTTCTTATTTCAATGCGATTCAATAAAGAGGCGAACGATACAAAGGGGATATTCAAAGTCGTAAGTCGAAAACAAACAAACAATGCCATGGAAAAAAAAACGACGAAAAGACAAACAACCGTACACGAAACACAACATAGAAAACTAATGACTGAGTAACACAAACCCCATCCAAAACCGGAGATGATCTCAGGCGCT